GGAGCAGGTGTGAGAGGCTGGGTGAGCCAGGGAAAGCCACGTTGCTCCATGTTTTTCAGCCAGTTTGCTTCCATTTTCTCAAGTCCCGAGGAAAGGGGCTTTAAAAAGAGTTAACGCTGGGGGCTTTAGGTCCCTGCTCTGGCTTGGGCACCCACCTGCCCACGTGCAAAGCAATCTCTGTTTCCACAAGGCAATATCTATGTTTGCACACGAGAGCAAGCCGGACCCCAAGGTTTGTAACAAACATGCCCGTTTCCTGTCGTTATGATAGGATCTAGTTTATCACGAGGGCAGATGGTAACTTGCTGCAGGATCAGGTGAGACGGCGCTACAGGACCGGGGTACAACTCACGCTCTCTGGGGATAAAAAATGCGACTTTGAGCTCTGGACTGAGGTTGTATTGAGTCAGGCCTGGCAAGTAACGGTTGTTCTGCTGCTCTCTGCTCTAACCTGCTGTCCCTCCAGGGGAATATGTCGTCATGACCACGCACTTCCACCTCAAGCGGAAGATTGGGTACTTTGTGATCCAGACATACCTGCCCTGCATTATGACTGTCATCCTATCACAGGTTTCCTTCTGGCTTAACAGGGAGTCTGTTCCTGCCCGGACTGTGTTCGGTGAGTTTCTGGCATGCAGGGTGCTGATGGGGGAGGGGTTTCATTGGAAGAGCAACCGTGGCCAATTAGGTAAACATAGCACGGCAGGGAATGGCTCGGCATCTGTCTGTCTATCTGCCGGTGTCTTCTAATCTGTCAGGTGCCCCAGCTTCTGGTACTACAGAGTTTCGTTTGTGAACCTTGCATTTCATTTACCCCAGGTGTGTCCCTAGCCCTCTGCTTGGTGGTCAGTTCCGTTTGCAGGGCAGCTGCTGAGCAGCTTGGGGGATCGGTGAAATCGGTTCTCTATCACCCACGGGCAGGTGCCTTGGATTCCTGTGAGCCATTGGCCTCTGCTGGAGCATGCCAGCCCTCCAGGCATAGGCAGGGGTCTGCGGTGTGCTGCTACCTCTCATTGTAATGTTCGTGATGGGGTTTTCGTCCTTACTCAGACCTTCCATTAATGTCTATCCGGCGGGCAAGTGGCAAGGTCGAAGTAGCCGGAATCCTGCTCTCCAAAGTGCTGCCAGGCCAGATTCTAATCAGTGGAATCAGTTATGTCTCTGCGCTGCATGGGACACCACAGGAGGCAGGGGAAGGCAGCGGGAAGGACAGGGAGGGAGGAAACTCAGAACAGGAAGAGAAAGATGTCAGGAGAGCAAAGAACCAGAGTCAGAGCCTTTCTCCTGTAGCTTGTCGTCTGAAATCAGTGAGCCTGGGAGCTAGTCCTTGGGTTAAAAGGCCATGGAGAAGGTGAATCTACCTACTGCCATGTCTTCCCGCCAGTCATGACCGAGGCCTAGGTGCAACGTGGAGGCGGCATTGCTGCGGCTTTTCACTGGGCAGTGGCCCAAGAACAAACAGTGCCCTGGATAACCCTGTTAGCGCTCTGACCGATCATGGACATTGCTGCCCTGCTGGCAGAACCCAACAGACATGGATACAATTTGGCCGGCCAGCAGTCCCTCATGGTAACAGAATGTTCTGCTGGCTCTAATCTTTAACAGATGTTACTGTCCTCGGTAGGAGCGTATTTTACAGGAAATACAAATGATTTAAATTGTGAGCACCGTTCCGTCCTCCGGGCTAGCGCAGCACCCCTCACGCCCTCTGTGCTCGTCAGAACAGCCAGATCATGCAGCCGTCATGAGAAACCCCACATGATGCCAAACCAGGTGCTGAGTAATACAGCAGGGTGGCAAATTGTTTTCTCCACCCAGGGAGATTTTCAAGACATCGAAAAGTTTTCCCTTCCCAAGGCGGGAGGACTCAGGCGACAGGCAATTTTATGAACCAAACACTGAAAAAAAATCACTTTCAGCCAGAATGTTTTGTTTCGATAATTTCCAAATGGTTTTGTTTGTTTGTTTGTTTCAGTTCTGACTTTTTTATCTTTTAAAAATCAGAAAACATTTGAACTCAAATAACGGAAACTTTCCCTTTTGATAATGTTGAAACTTTGCTCTCAGAATGTTTTCAAGTTAGTACAGGTTAAACCTCTCTAGTCCAGCACCCTCAGGACCTGGCCGGTGCCGAACCAGCGAATTTGCCAAACCACAGGAAGTCAATATTATCTAGCAGCATCACCAACACTTCCACTGCTTACTGGGTTCTTGGAAGACAGTTAGGGGAATATTAGAGCTAAATAATAGCACAGAACATTGAGAGCCAGGACTGGTGGCTGTAAACAAACCTTACGGGACTACAGGAAATGTGGCCACACCTACGATACGTGGACACCCGGCTATGTAAAATCATGCCAGAACATGGATGTTGCTGGACCAGAGAGGTTCAACTTATATATTGTTGTATGATTTGTTTTATTTTAGATCCAAGGGAAACCAGGATACTCCAGAGAGACTTAACCACTTTCTTATTTATTACAAGTTTTAAACAGTCAATATAGTTGTTTAAATTTTATAAGCCTTAAAAACAATGACTATACAATTTAAACCGTACGTACCATACATTCTAAAGCAATTAATATAGCGCAAAGCAATGCAAAAGCAATTGATAGAAGATCTACTATAATACAATAATAAAGCCTACTTCACTTACACTTCATCTGTATGCTACCTACAGTATCAGGCAGGAGTTCATGGTCCCTTTGATTCCCACACATTGGAACGCCATGCGCTGGGGTCGCCGGTGTGACGGGTCTATTACTTTGAGTTAAAACAAGCAGGATTGACCTGCGAGTCAGTCTTGCTCCCTCCCTCTCATCAATTCTTCTTAGTAAGCCCATTTTATAGCAAAGTGAGACTTGGTCGTTCTAATAATATTACCAATTGATTACGTATTGTGTAGGACACCTAAAAGGCCCAATGCCCTATTTTAGGTACATCCTGCTACTCAGGATGTTGCAAAACTGACGTGCGTAGTTAACAGTTTCATGGCCGCATCTGTAATTCTTCCTTATCAGAAACAGAAGTAGCAGTACAAGTTTACTTCTCATGCACTCTTGATGTGGTCTCGCTGTGCCGCTTAATCTGCATTGTTATGCAAAACATTCCTGCCTCTCAAAGCTTCCCCAGAGGGCCTTGCCTGCGTGCCTATTTGCACCAGACTTGAGACAGGCCTGGGTTTTGCTTGTTAGAGATCCGCATTGTGGTCAAGGCAGACTTTATTATTTCAGTCCACGCAGGGCCCTCCAGGCTCCTCTACAGCTAGTCTTTGAAATTGACCGTGTTTCGTGAAAGCAGTTTGGGTTGCAGAGAATCAGTATTTTTCAGCAAAAAACAGTTTGCCAACAAATTCCTGATCAGCTCTCCTGAGTAATAACCATGCAGTTACATGGAACTGGCTGCTTTCTTGGAGGTGTTTTTGGTCTGTATATACCACTTGTGCTTTCTGACTGTACTTGTGCATGTGCTGAACTGATCCCTGGGTGGAGTCAACAGGACTCCACTCTACCTAGATTGCAATTATTTTCATTTCTTTACACGCTATCTTCTCACTTCACTTCCGAGGCAGAAGGCAGGGCCAGAGCCACAAATATATTAACCGACTATTTGAGATCAGGGCCAGTCTGTATATACCACTTGTGCTTTCTGACTGTACTTGTGCATGTGCTGAACTGATCCCTGGGTGGAGTCAACAGGACTCCACTCTACCTAGATTGCAATTATTTTCATTTCTTTACACGCTATCTTCTCACTTCACTTCCGAGGCAGAAGGCAGGGCCAGAGCCACAAATATATTAACCGACTATTTGAGATCAGGGCCAACTTGTTCCCTCTACAGTGGCCAGTGGAATCAGTCAGGGCTCCATTTAAGCATGGAGGCAGGTTGCTAGAGGTAGAGAGACTCAACGCCCCCCTCCAAAAATCAGTGTCCCATCTCCCAAGTGCCTGACTCCCCCTGCCCTGGCCCGTGCACGTGCCCATCTCTGCAGGCCCAGCCCCTGTGCATGCCACGTGATGCTGCAGGGGTTCATTCAGCCTTCCCTTCGTGGCAAAAGCCACTGGTTCAGAGTCGGAGTCAGCCCCATCCAGCACCACTGGACAGACTGTAAAAGGCCATTTTGCAGCCAATAATGGCAGTGGACCTGTCTTATGGATCCTGATAGCACGGTCCAGCAGTGAGCACACCAGCTTGTAAGGCCAGACACCTGGACTTTGTTCCCAGCTCTGCCAGTGACTTTTTGTGTGATCCTGGGCAAGCCTCTTCCCTGCTCTGTGCCTCAGTTTCCCCAGCCATTAAACTGCGTTAATTGTTTTCAGCCACCGTTGAGGTCAACAGACGGAAAGGGCTGCAGACGTCTTAAGCGTTGACACTTATTTTTTTGTGGGAGGAAGTAGGGAGGGGAGCGTACACAGACATGTGTTAAATGCTCCACAAAACACAATGTAAATATCCTAATAGCAACTCCTTCCCAAATGTTCCATTAGATTGGCCTGGCTGGCTGCACCTTACCATCATTTTATTACAGTAGCACGTGGAAGCACCAGTGTACTATACGCTGTACAAACACATTGTGAGATTAGACCTGCCTCGTACGGTCTGCCATCTAAGTAGAGCAAACACTGAGGCGTAGTGAGTTGCCCAAGGTCACCCAACAAGCCAGAAGCAGAGCCGGGAATAGAACCCAGGACTCCAGGGCCCCCATCTGGCCAAACCCATTGGTGGGGTAAGTGGGCATGGGTCCACAGAAGTCAACGGGGTTGGCCCAACTTATGCCTTTGGTGCGTTTGGTCCACAAGCATCTCTGCCTTGGATGTCAAAGAGCTAGTGGGAAGAGACAGCTCCTTGACCAGCCTCAGCCAGGTGGTTGCCTTCTTTGACAGCCCCCTCCTCTCCTGCTTTGTCCCCGCAGGCGTCACCACCGTCCTCACCATGACCACACTGAGCATCAGCGCCAGAAACTCCTTACCCAAAGTGGCGTACGCGACGGCCATGGACTGGTTCATAGCCGTCTGTTACGCCTTCGTGTTTTCTGCGCTGATCGAGTTTGCCACCGTCAACTACTTCACCAAGCGGAGCTGGGCCTGGGATGGCAAGAAGGTGCTGGAGGCCCAGGAGATGAAGGTGGGTTCTGTAGTCAAGGCCCGGGAGCTCGGGAGGGCGAAGAAACGCCCCACGAGAGAGCTGCATTGGGACCAGGAGTGGGTAACATGCAGCCCGGCACATTCCAGTTGGCTGGATGCTACTCACTGGGGTCATCAATGCAGGTCTTGACTGGAGCGGTTCTTCGGGGTGGAGGGAGAAGAGGCTGGGGCAATGTATTGCCTTTATCGTTAGCTGGGGGAAAAACCCGACAATGCTCATGAGCCGGGGAATGTCTCCATCTGCCCCTCCCACCGTGCATGCGTGTGTGCATCGGTGTCTGGTTGTGTCTGTGCACATCTCTGTGTGGCGCCATCTCACGCTTCCTTTGCTCCATCACGGGGCTGCTCTGCGCCATCTTGCTGCCGTGATGTGCCAGCATTATGCCCAAAGCCAAGATCACACCAAGGGAAGCCACCACCCTCACTCTCTTTGCTCCCTCACTGGGTGAATGTCCCATGGCATGGAGGATGTGGGGGGGATGTCCCATGGATTTATGGGATGATGGACATGGGTGGGGATGTCCCATGGAATGAAGGACATGGGTGGGGGGAAGGTTGTCCCATGGATGGAGGATGTGGGGGGATGTCCTGTGGATGAAGCACGTGGAGGGATGTCCCATGCATGAAGGACGTGGGGTGGGGTGTCCCATGGGATGAAGGACATGGGGGAATGTCCCATGGGATGATGGACATGGGTGGGGATGTCCCATGGAATGAAGGACATGGGTGGGGGGAAGGTTGTCCCATGGATGAAGGATGTGGGGGGATGTCCTGTGGATGAAGCACGTGGAGGGATGTCCCATGCATGAAGGACGTGGTGGGGGGGGGCGTGTCCCATTGATGAAGGACACGGGGGGATGTCCAATGGGATGAAGGACATGGGGGGGTGTCCCATGCTTTCCCCCAGTGCCAGGCAGGCATATCACAGGGAGGGCGACATTAGGTGCTGTGTGTTATGCTCAGCTGTTGGCAGTCAGCTACACCAGGAGGTAGAGAGCCATCTGAAGCAGTAACTGGCGAAAAATTAGTGGGCATCAGCCAGATTTCTCTTCTGGCTTTGGAGCCGCCTTTCTGACAGCTTCCTCTGTGGCAGGCCTCCCTGGCCTACACTGACACCCCCTCCTGCCTTGCCGATCTTGCCAGGGCTGCTCAGAGGAATGGCTTGTTGTGGTGCACTGCTCCCTTGTCCTATTTATTCAATCAGTTTCAGAATCAGCTTTGTCCTTGTTCTCGGTGCTGGAGCCTGTTTTTTGGTTGTGCATGATAATGTGCTGCTGGGGGCTGCTGAGGGACCATGTGCAAACGGGGAGTATCCCTGGAGGAAGAGCTGGGGAGAAGGAATTCAATAGTTCAGTCCATTCCTTTGGACTGAGTCATAGCCTTGAAAACAAGATCAGAGGGTGGGAGGTGGAGCTTGCAAATGGGGAGCTAGAGTTAGTATCAACCGTACTGTAGAGTCCCTGCCTCTTCTGGGACCTGAGCTCTGCTTTCCACCAGTGTGATGCTACCGACTGAGTCTGTTCTCCAAAAGCGATGGCCGAACAGTGGGATTCTGTCCGACCAAATGAGACACAATGGGAACAGCTACAACGCCTTTGTGATCAACCTCACACAATGGGGCTGAATGTGGCCCAATTGACACCAGTTGGATCAGATCCTAAATTGGTTGGGTCCTGGTTAGAAATGGGCAGAACTGAGGGGATAAAATGAGGACTGATGTGGTCCTTCACCCACCACGTATAACGAAACCCAACTTAAATGATCCAGAAGCTAAGCAAAGCAAACCCTCAGTTAACTTCGAAAAAAGAGGCCTTCTCCATTTCTGAGCGATTCTCTTCACACCAGAGGGGATAAAAGAACCTGAAAAGACCATGAAGAAACTTGCGCTTTCAGTAAGGCAAGGCAGACACGTGACGTACCTGAAATCTTACAAGGGAAGCTTTTCCTGCGAGATTTGCAGCCCAAGACTCAAGATGGTCAGATAAACATCCAACTGTCTGTGGGCTTGTCCCACCTGGTGCTTCTCCATCCTCATGAGTTTCACCCACCCCCAGTTATGTTACAGATCAGGAAAGTGGAACAGATTCCTTCCAGCTCTGATAAATGTTCTATTCACTTGTTACCATATCTGAGACCACCTATGGAAGGAGCACTCAAGGAAGAGCAATGGGGCTAAAGGGGTTTGTGAATTAGCTACTGTCCCGTGGTTGTTCTGCTTTTCTATCCTCTTAACATGTTTCCAGGCAGTGTGGTGATGATTCCTGATAGGCTCTGTTTCAGCCATCAGTGAGTCATAGAATCAAAGAACCATAGAACTGGAAGAGACCTCAGAAGGTCATCAAGTCCAGCCCCCTGCTCTAGCCAGGACCAATCCCAACTAAATCAACCTGGCCAGGGCTGTGTCAAGTCGAGACTTAAACACCTCTAGGGATGGAGACTCCACTACTTCCCTAGGTAACCCATTCCAGTCAATCTTGGAACAAATGACAAATTAGGTGGTTGAATCTGAAACAAAACCCGCATATCTACAATCCCCCAGTGAGGGAAATATTTGTACCAGCAGTGAAGTGCCCACATCTGGTCTTTATAAAGCTGTCCCCTGCAGAAAGACACCAGTGTGCTTCATTTGTAGTGTGAAAAGCCCAGTTGTGTAGATCAACGGGGTACCCACCGTGCTGCATGGCCCAGAAGCTGGGGCTATAAAGAGGCAGCAGATTCAACATCTACAGGAGCTTACCATGAGCTTTGCATGATCGGCAGAGCTACCCGAAGAGACGGGTTGTGAAGTGAAAGCTGCAAGGTGGAAGTCGGAGGCCTTGAGGTAGCGGGAAGATCCCGGGAAGCTTGACTTGGCCAGTTTGGAGATGATGAATGAAGAGGACTCGGTGAAGGTAACATGGCAGGAGCCAGAGGGCAGGAAGGAGACCCCAAAGAAAGCAGGGCAAAGAGCGGATGGATTGCATCCAAGAAGCTGTGAGCAAGTGAACCCTAGAGCTGCCTCAGTCCAGTGAAGAAGGTGGATGCTTGCCCAATGACCCAAACCCGGATGAGGGAGAAAACGATTTCATTTTGGCACTGGGGGAAGGGCCCAGATTGACAGCCCTTGGACTGAAACCCTCTCCGTTTCTGTGGCATGGATAGCAGCGACCTCTCCCACTCCCACCAGGAGGTAGGGTGGCTGGGTGGTTTGGCTTTCTGGAGTTACCCAGCTTTTTTTCAGGACGCTGGTAAGAAGCTGCTAACTTGCTGACCTCTGGACACCTGCCCACTCACAACAGTTGCCACAGACCAAGAGGACCATGTACGTTGTGGTTTGCTCTGCTGGTGTGTTATACCCCTGTCCCTCGCCCCTCATCTGTCCTGTCTATTGTAGACTACTGCTCTGTTTGTACAGCACCTAACACAGGGAAGCCCTGAACATGGAGAGTCTCAAGGTACTGCCATCATAGACATGATTAACTCTAAGGATATGTCCAGACTACATGGCAGCAATTTAAATAATCGCCGCTTCATTTAAATTAAAATGGCTGCCGCGCTGAGCCGATCAGCTGTTTGTTGGCTCAGCGTGCTAGGCTGGACGCTCCACGGTCGACATCAAAGGCATTTGTCGACCGCCCTGTTATGCCTCGTGGGATGAGGTTTACCAGGGCGGTCGACCAATGCCTTTGATGTCGACCGCGGAGCGTCCAGACTAGCGCGCTGGAGCAAAGACTTTCTTGCAGGAGTTCTGCTTCACCAAGTAGAGCTGCCATGGAAGACTTGGGGCAGTCATTCCAGCTGGAGAACCATTTTTGGTGCCCCACGCAGCGATTTTGTGTGAGGACAGGGGATTGGTGGAGAAGAGCCATCGATTTTGTGTAAGGGCAGGGGATTGGTGGAGAAGATCCATCTCCCGCGGTGTCCTGCAAGGCAGCCAGCAATCCAAGCAGAGAAAAGGCGCCCGTGAAAGATGAGTGGCTTCCATACAAGCCATCTAACCCCTGGAATCTCCGGAGCAGTCCCACCAAGGATCCCCCCGACTGGAACCTGGAGGGACTGCCTCTGGGCTGAAGGAGCCTCGTCACTGGAAAGGCGATGACTTGCCTCCAAGGGGAGATTCCCCTCTGGACTCCGGCGATGCGGCCTCTGATGGGCGGTGCCACCTCTGAGGGGTTTTCCCACCTGCCCTAGAGAGGATCCTGACTACACTCTAAGCCCAAGGGACCAAATGGAATGGGATTGTCACGGCTGGACTCCATGGCGGCCTCCTTCCTGTTGATCTCTGCACCTGCGCTCCAGAAAGGTCGCTTCCACCGAGCTTTGCCCGGGGACTCCGGCAAGGCTGCCAGACCTGTGAGAATGAGAGTGGCCGGTGATTGTCCCCCAACAACGTCCCTGCCTCAAGGCGGGGCGTTTTCAGGTGATCCTCCTCGGCGCCTGCCCAGCTGCTGCTTTCCTGCCATGCCATCGTTGCCTGGGCAAGCGTCACCGCTTCCTGCTGTCTCCGAGCCCGTCCTGCACTCACCTGCACATCTGAGCAGCTCCTCGCTGGACACCTGCAAGCAGCCATGTGAACTCCCCACGCCAGGCAGCAGGAGGCCCCTTTCTCCTCTGCTCCCCAGGCCATGGTCCTAATCTATGAGGCTGAGCTCATCCAGCTTCTTCTCCGGCCTGTCTTCTCCAGAGGAACGTCACCAGAGTCCAGGCCCACCCTCTCCCCCGGGTCCCAGCCCAGGTCCTGTCGGTGGTGGGGAGCCCACCACTAGCTCAGTGGGGAATCCACCCGAAACACATCGAGCTCTCAGGGACCTAACTCCCCGGCCTGGGCTACTTCCTACCGGACTCACCACAGCCGCCTTCGCTGCTTTCCTCTGGACTGGACTGGGGGCTTCTCTGGCCATTCCCCTCTGACTGGCCTCTGTGGGGCGGCCTACCAGCTGCTCTTCCTCCAGAGCCCCGGCAGCACCAACTTCCCCGGCAGCGACCAGCCCCGACTGAGCT